AAAGGAATGTGTTTGCATGTATATACATAGATAAGCAAAAAGCCTTGCAAAAGGACACCCCCCCCCTTTCACAGGGAACGCAAATTCAGACAGGTGCAGCCTGCACGTACAAGTTCCCAGAGCTGATACAGGCTCAGCCTTCATTCAGGCCTGCTCAGTTCCAAACCTTATTCCATCTGGCTAAATTAATAAACAAATCTTAAACAGATTTGAGAGAAGATGGCAGGTTAGCTCTCTGTAATTGTCATGTGGTTTCCAGCCAGCCTCCCTCTCTCTAGTTCCCCCACATTGCTGTGAAATACCAGGGAACACATTTCATCCAAAAGTCTTCAGGGAAACCTCTGTATGTCAATCCTGGGCCCCTAAGTGAGTTCTGTTCTGCTTTAGAACATCCCACAAGGACGCCCAGGTCTCTCCTTGACCCCCTCAGCCATTTGAAGACCCTCTCACAAACACTGGTGTTCAATTTTATCTTATAGATCTAGGATAATGAAAAAGTGAAGCTTCCTCTGTAGATGTGGGAAAACTAGGAAATAAATCCCCAGACTTTTGAACACAGTAGAGAAAGAGGGGAAATGAATCTTGAGACTTTAGGACCCAGGAGAGAGAGAGAGAGAGAGAGAGAGAGAGAGAGAGAGAGAGAGAGAGAGAGAGAGAGAGAATAAGAGGAAATAAATCCTGAGACTTTAGCTTTAGGAACACCGTTGGGAGAGAGACCAAGCTGAACCTTCCCTGTAACGATGGCGAACCTGACACTGGGGGGGGGTGACAAGGCTTCCAGTCTGCTCAGGTTGTTGGGGACACATGGATGAGTGACCAAAGGACCCTGCCTATGGGGCTAACAACCCCTAACCCTCAGAGGAGCTGAGAGGCACCAGACATAAAGGTTGACATGCTGATGAAATTTTCCAGGCAGCTAGGACCTGGGAAGCTTGTGGTAAGGTCAACATACCAACCTCCCTGTGGTATCTCCAACAGAGATCTGCGGATGGAACCTCCCACCTCCAAAGATCCCTGTTCTGCCCTATAGACAGGGAAACTCCGACCCCTGCACCTGCACACTCGGTCACCAATCCATGGAGAGCCTACTGGTTTTCATGTTCCGATTAAAGGACAAACTGCTTCTGTGTCCCCATCTAACCCTCTCCACCAAGCTTACCTCCTGATATAGGATCGAAAATAAGAATCTGGGGCCAGCAAGATAGCTCAGCAGGTAAAGGTTCTTGCTACCAAGCCTGAGAACTTGATGGCAGCCCCTGGGACCACACCGAGAAGGACAGAACTGACTCCGGCGAGCCGTGCTGGCTTCTACACACTTGTCATGACATGCAAGCCCACAGCTGTCCGCACACAGAGACAGATAAACAAGATCCGATGAATGAATTCAGTGTGATCAGAAAGGGAGAACATGGTTACTGGAGCCTTGAGTCTGGTGGTTTGGTGCATACTTAAAATCCCAGTACTCACGAGGCTGAGGCAGGAGGATCAAAGTCTTTAGATAGTGTAGGCTACACAATAAATTCCAGGCAGCATGAACTATGGGAGTCTTTTAAAAATTATCGAGGGCTGGAGAGATGGCTCAGCGGTTAAGAGCACTGACTGCTCTTCCAGAGGTCCTGAGTTGAATTCCCAGCAATCACATGGTGACTCACAACCATCTGGAATGGGATCTGATGCCCTCTTCTGGTGTGTCTGAAAATAGCAACATTGTATCCACATACATAAATTAAATAAATAAACCTTTAAAAAAATATATCTAGTTAGAACTAGCAAGATGGCTCAATGAATAAGAAGCTCACTGCCCAACCTTCTGACCTGAGTCTGATCCCTAGGACCCAGCTGGAAGGAGAAAACTGACTCCTGCAAATTGACCTCTGACCTGCACTTCTGGGCTGTGATACACGCAACCCGACCCTGGGCAAAATGTTTCAAAATCTAATTAATTTCAATTTTAAAGGAGTCACTGGGGTCTCTAAAGGGAGTGGGGAAAGTCCAGAAAGGAAGGCACTTCAGCCACAGACGGACTTTTCTAGAGAATGCCCGAGGTGACTCAGGAACCTGACCTTGAACCCCAGTCTTTAGAAGTCTCTACTCCAAGAAGTAGAGACTTGAGAGCACCAACATTTTGTTACCACAGAAAGGTTTTGTGAAGCAGCTGGTCTTTGAAACTGGCCTTGAGAACCAAACAGAATTTTGGCACATGGAGAGACGGCAGGGTTCCGGGGAATGCCCAGACAGGCGCACATGATTTATCGGGCCCTGTCTGGTTTGGCTGAGCTACAGAGATAACACAAGGCGATGCTGAGGAAGTAAAGGTAGAAACGCAGGTGTGGCTGGCAGCAGACAAGCTTGGGCAGGAGGTGAGCAGCTCTTCATAAGGAGTAGAGATGGACAGAGACCCGTGGCGTAAAGCCAGGGGTCAGGGAAAGGCCAGCATCGCTGTGAACTCTGGTGAACATGGATTACAGGTTCTGCCCATGTTTATCCTGGATTTATTCTAATCCCTGGTCTCATTATTCAAGAGAACACTAAGAGCTTACCATTAAATGCTCAGGGGTGGATGGCAAATGAAGGAGGGCTTTCTTTCGGGGATGTGTTCCGAGGACAAGGCAGGGCAGAGGTGGAGATGTCAACCTTAGGCTGTAGAGCATGTTTGGGGAACAGAAACCTGGGGTGACAATATGGAGAACTGGTAGTTTAGGCCACTGTACAGCTGGCAGACTAAGACAGCTCCCTGGAGTTGTAAGAAAGTGGCATGACCTTTGCAGGGGACCCAGATATTCTTCCAGCAGCATGCTAGAGATGTTTCTATTGTGACTTCGGGGCTTCTGCTTCCGAATGGATGTCAAGACCACAGACAAAACAACTCAGCCACAGACCCCACTGATCGAGCACCAGCTCCCATCTGACGCACAAAGTAGTCCGTCTCGTAGGCATCAGACCACCTTCATTACGACCGCAGTGAAGGAGGCATCTAAACTCAGTGTGCTAAGAGGGAATGTTGAAAGCCCAGGTCCTTTAAGATTACAGAAAGCTGCATTTGAACCCCGAGTTTGCTACTTACTAGTTGAGCCATCTTCGACAAATGGTTTAACTCCCTCAACTCCAGGTGCTTCCGCTGCCCAAGCAGAGGCCACACCCACTCTGGCAGGCAGAGAGGGGGCTTGTGGAAATGCTTTCCCCCACCGTGCCTGATGTCCAACGCATGCTGCCGCTTCCCTCTTTGTTTTGTGAAATTGGTGCCCGATAAAGAGGAAATTACTAACAACCAAACATCCTGTACGCGGCTAAGGCCAACTTCCTGTATTAGAACTTTAGAAGAAAGCTTTAGAAGAAGTAATAGCAAAGAACTCATGTCCCTTTTATTTCCTGTCCTTAGCGTCTCGGTAAGATGGGTACCAATGACTAGAAATCATACATGAGTAACTACATATAAAAACTGTACATAATTACGTGTCAGAAATTACAGATGTATAAAACCCCATGATGCTTAACAGGAAGAATGAGAACAACTGGTAACATAAGCAGAGAAAGGATAACTCGTTTTAAAGTGGGAGGCTGATCTCTCAGGATGCATATTTTCATTGAAAATAGATAATGGCCAACAGGCATATACAAAGATGACAGACATCACTATTCATAAGAGGCATGCAAATCCAAACCCACGAGGGTCTCACTTTGCATTTTCTGAGCTGGCTACAGTGAAGTGGTATTGGTGAGGAGGTAGAGAAATTAAAGTCCTCAGCTGCTGATAGTGGCAAAGTCAAACAGAATCGGCCATGGGGTCTGTTCTGCAGCTTGTCAAAGACACGAGCAAGCAGTGATCCCTCTCGTGGGTCTACACACAGAAGCATTTGCAAACAGTTTATATGGAAACCTATGCATCAATATTCACAGATGCATTGTTCCCAGAAGGCCAGGAACTACTTCAGTACCCATCAGCCAATAAAAGAACGGAAATGTCACCGCACAGCAGGGCGAGGACCCGAGAAGGACTACACTCACAAACCTAATGCCAGCCAGAAGCATCCAGGCCCCAGAGGCTAGAGAGGATTCATTCTGTTTATAGGAGACTTCCATGAGGAAAAGTCTTTAGAGAAAGCAGATTGCTAGTCACCTAGGAACAGGGTGTATAGGATGAGGCGGGGTATGTGATTGAGGTGTTCCAATGTCATGACCATTCTCAAATCTGTGACTACATCAGAAGAGTTGACTACTTGTTTGGTTCTGAGAGTTTTATAATGAATAGTCAGATCCTGAACACCAAGGAAGGAAGACAGAGAATGTCTGACTGGCTGGGGCGGTTCCCTGGGACCTGTGAAGTCTGTTAACGTCATTGTCATCTTTAGCAGTGGAGTACTAGTTCCTGCCTCTGGAGACGTGCACTCCTTGATAAAGAGTCAATGCCTGCAAGATCATCTAGCCCCGATCTCAGGTCCTAGAGAGTCATCGCCATCTGAGATTTATTACAGCCATTAGCAAATTTAAATATGAAAACAAGACACAGCACAAAGTTTAGGCCCACTCCACCCAACTCTTCCTTTACTCATTCAGTCCAAAACATATTTCTATTTTTATTTTAGATTTGTTTATGTGTGGGGGTCTTTCGCCTGCACGCATGTATGGGAACCACATGATGCAGTGCCCACGGAGGCCCTAAGAGTGTCTCAGTTTCCCTGGAACTGGAGTTAGGAGTGGTCTTAAGCCCTCACTCAGTGCTGGGAATTGAGACCAGGTCCTCTGTGAAAGCATTCAGTACTCTTAACCACTGAACCAACTTCCCAGCCCATAACCCAAATTTATACTATGCATGGAATAGAAAGCCTCTAAATTACTAAATTTTAACTTCCTGGCTTCAAAGTTAGAGATTTCTTATGTACGTGAGTCCTAGGATGCCCCATAGTATTTTTTATAAAGAAGGGGATGAAAGAGAAACAGCCCCTCAAAGGGGTCAGAACATGGTGGTCCTGAGAGTGAGACAGATCTCTGTCCATACTCACATCTGTACTCTGGTCTTCGTTCATTCTGGTACAGTCTAGAAGCTCTGGTCCTGAGATGGAGCCTTCTGTGGGGAGTGGACACCTGGTGGTAGAGGTAGAAAGAGTGGCTTTCTGCAAATATTAACAGGTGACTACCAGAGTTCCCAGTGCCCCTCCCCAGAGCAGCCAGTTTCTTATGAAGCAAGAAGAGAGCTCCTGTTTCCTCTAGAGAGAAGTTACTTAGGACAGAAAAGCCAGCCAGAAATGAAAATATGACATTTGCAATTCAAAGCCTGGTTTCCTCCACTCAGGAGCAGAAGGGACTCTGAGGGGGGGGAGGGGAAGGAGAAGGGGGGGGGGGGGGGGTGGGGGGGGGGGGGGGGGGTTAAGGGGGAGTGGGTTAGCTCTGCCAACTCTGCTGATCATCCTTAGTTTCTAAAAATCAGTCTTTTGATTTAAAGAGTAGGTGAGTACAAAGGTGTTGGGAGTCTGGACTATGTCCATGACTCACTGGAGTTGTCTTAGCAGTAAAGATGTAGAGTGATCCTCAGAGCTGTCTTGCAAAATTTAAAAGCAATGTCTGGACTCAAAACTGTGGATCCTCAGAAAGCTGGAGCAGCTCCATCAAAAAAAAAAATAGCAAAGAAGTAATAATGTTAATAAAATACAGCTCGTTAGCAGACACCCTTGGAGGAGGTGGATGGCTGTGACCTCATTTACTGGGACCCTCTTGTCACGTCCAAAGCCCCATCTTGTGCTTCCTGCTCTGGGGTGGGGGGCGCTTTCACACGGAATGTGGGCTGAGTTTCTGGCACATGAGACAGGAGTCAGTTCTAGCCTTGGAATTGGTGTGAGGCCGTCAAGACACAAGGCATCTGCAGCGGGAGGAATGAGAGAAGAGGTGAACTTCTGATTCACAGTGTCTTAAAGATTTAACTTTTCTCACCCGGGAGATCGGTTGTACCAAATCTGAAAAAGTAAAAACCAATCCGATTCTATTAACATTGTATCCTAAAACCCCTAGATACCCAGATACATGGAGGTAGAAACATCCAGTGCTTATTAAAAACAAAACAAAACCCCACAAGCTGAGGTGTGGGTACTGGGGAGCAGAAACCCTTGTCCACTGATCTGCTCCACAATGCACAGCCAGCAGAACACACACTCAACAGCGGCGTCTTTATAAAACACACTCAACAGCGGCGTCTTTATAAGAGAAGTTGTATTAGAACACAGCCATGGATGTTCATCTGAGGACAGACTGTGGCTGCTTGTGTGTTTCAGCAGTTGTGCTCAAGAGTTGTCTCAGGGGTGAGACCACGGGGCTGGAGAAGCCTAAGACATGTGCTACCCAGCCTTCCAGAACAATTTGGTAGACTCCTTGGGAGGAAAGCTGCAGGCACTGTGATCAGAAACCACTAAGTGTTGCAGGGAACCAAGGAACCACTGCTTTCGGGAGTGTGATTGTTGCAATTTGGGGTGCAGGAAGATGCCAAGCTTAATCTTTAAAAAAATGCATCTATCCATCACAATATTTTGGTTCATATACCAGCTTTGCCTCTTACGGGTTGTGTGGTTGGTAAGTAACGCCTCTACTCAGGGCCGTAATTCACTTATAGGTACAGGGACACTCGATCTCAGGCAAATTGTGTTTGATGTTCTTCTGTTTCTTCATCTTTCAAGGGAGCACTACAGGCAGGAGACATGGTGCTTAAGCACGCTTGCTGCTCTTTCAGAGTCCCTTGGTTTGGTTCCCAGCACCCGATGGCTCACAATCTTCTATAAGCCCAGTCTGGCCATCTAACACTTCCTTCTGGTCTCTGTGGGCACCGGGCACACATGGTGTCCATTTACATGCTTTCAAGCAAAACAATCACACACATAAAATAAGATAAAATAAGATTAAAAAAATTTCTCAGTGAGAAATAAAATGGGCCAGGAGCCAGGGGGAGCAGCTGAGTAGTAGAGGAGCAGCTGAGTGGTAGAGGATCAGCTGAGTGGTAGAGGAGCAGCTGAGTGGTAGAGGAGGAGCTGAGTGATAGAGGAGGAGCTGAGTGGTAGAGGAGCAGCTGAGTGGTAGAGGAGCAGCTGAGTGGTAGAACAGCATGGGCATATTCTGTCTCCAGCTCCACCATAGTAGATCCAGTAAATGGGAATTATACTGGCATCCTGCCCATCAGACTGCGCAGCGGAATAATGAAGTTGCCTGGAGCATTGAGACCACAGGATGCAGCCGTAATTCCACGGTGAGGATGGTGTTCAGCTGAGGGTTTCCATGGATAAACAAACACAGGCAGAGTTGATGTTGTCTGGCCCCAGGCCAGTCACAGGATGCAGTTCTGACCTTTGGCCACCAGGTCCCACAGTTGACCGCTTTCTTCTCATTCTTACTAACTCCTCTAAATCCATATAAGCTCGGACTCCACAGAGGCTGAAGCTCTCATGCTCTACCTTCTCTTTTGAGTGCTGGTTTTCCTGGTCAGAATTCTTCCACACACTCCCAAAGCTGTCTCTCTCTCCCCATAACTTCATTTTCTTCAGTCTTCTGTGGACTGTTTTCTGAACTCGAGCCTTATTATTTTATAGGATTTGTTCTTAATTATGTACTATAGTACCTAGTATAGAGTGAATCTTCTGGTTTAAATCAATTGAATCCATAGACAAATATCCAACAGATCTCCCTGGACAGATTCATTGTTATTAATTCTGTCCAGGAAGCCCTCCCCACCTACGTGTGGGTAGGAGTGGAAAGGGGCGTGTCCACACTCACCCAGCAGGGGTGTATGCTGGAATGTGTGTTTTCCAGGTCAGGGGTACCCGATGTCCGCTTCTTTCTTGCCCCTGCTGTGGTTTGTGGCAGGGCTGCTTCTGAATAGAAAACCAGCGTTATTAGCTGTCTAAAGAAAAGTTCCACCCCATAGTTATCAAGATAATTCTTTCAGCTTAAAAGAAGACCCACTGGGGAAGGGACAGGGCAAACAAACATGAAACTAGATGAGCACAGAGGTGGGGTGGGTCCGCAGGAGTTTGGAGGGTTGTAAATATGGCCAAATATACTGTGTGAAATTCACAATTAATAAAACTAGTTCTTTAAAAAGAGGACAGGTGTTAGAGAGCACTGGGTGTTCTTGCAGAGGACCCAGTTTTTGTTTTCCGGCACTAGTACGGTGACTCACAACCATCTACAACTCCAGTGCCTGAGGACCCAACACTCCTCTGCCTCCTGTGCACAGTGCACACATGTAATGCACGGACATGTGTGCAGGGAAAACACTTGCACACATAAAATAAAAATAAACACATAAAATTTCAAAGAAAAAAAATAGTCAGGGTGTGAGAGGTCCCAAGTGAGGGTGTCACAGAGTATAGCTTCTCCCAAAGCCACAGCACAGGGGCAAATCCACATTCTTCTTCAAGCCTGCCCTGGAGGTGGAGGCATAGAGTCAGGATACTCAGGAGGCAGGCAGAAGCATCCACGTTCAAGATTTGCCTGGGCCACAAAGTGGGTGCAGAGCCAGCTAAGCAACTTAGTACAACCCTGTCTCAAAATAGAAAGTTAAAAAGCTGGAGATATGGTTTTCAAGTACAGCTTTCGCCGACACCCGTGAGGTTCCAAGGTTCAGTCCTAAGCACCTACAAGCAAAACCAGGGAGAACACCCCTGGGCAGCAGTTAACAGGATGCTCACACGTCACCAACTCCACTTAATTCACACCTAGATAGAAGCAAGGCTTTGGGGAAGGGGACAGGAGTGAAGGGCAAAGCCAGTTATCCCGTTCTTCATAGTACTGCGGTCAAAAGGTAGATTTCTACCTCTTACATTAGATACAATGATAATGAATGGGGAGGAGGAAGAGGAGGAGGAGGAAGGAGAAGAGAAGGAGGAGGTGGAGGAGGAGATGAGAAGATGATGAAGAGGAGGAGAAAGAGAAGACAAGGAAGAGGATGAAGGAGAGGAAGAGGAAGAAGAAGAAGAGGAGGAAGAGGAGGGGAGGAGGAGGAGGAGGAGGAGGAGGAGGAGAAGGAGAAGGAGAAGGAGAAGGAGAAGGAGAAGGAGAAGGAGAAGAAGAAGAAGAAGAAGAAGAAGAAGAAGAAGAAGAAGAAAGAGGGTATCCATTGCCTGACTGGTAATTTTTTTTGTAGAAAAGTAATATGTTTAGATTCCTCAGCCTTTTCATACATACTGAATGATTTTAAAAATTATTATTTTATTGTTTGTTATTATTATTTTGTATATGGGTGTTTTGCCTGCCTTTATTTCTACGCACCATGGGAGTACAGCACCTGAGGAGGCCAGAAGAGGGTAATGGATCCCGTGGAAATATAGAAAGTTGTGATTGGCTATGTGGGTACAGGGCCTCAAGCCCAGGCCCTCTGGAAGAACGGCCAGTGTTCCAGCCCCTGAGTCATCTCGCCAGTCTTTCTTTTCTGTGTGGTTGGAGGATGTTTTTGTTCTGACACATCATTGTATCCCTGGCTGGCCTAAATAAAATGCACTACATAAGTCAGGTTGTCCTTAGACTCACAGAGACCAGCCTGCTTCTGCCCTCTTTATGCTGAGATTAAACAGGTGCAGCCACCACGCCTGGTTCCAATTACATTTTGTTTTGTTCTAATAGCCAAATCACGATAGTTATATAAGTAATTAAAAAACAATCTCGGGCTTACCAATTTCTCAGTAGAAGTTGGTGTCTCTGTGTGCAGGGCGGGGGATCACAGTGAGGAGACTTGTCAGCAAAGCCCCGTGGTGTGAGACAGTGACAGAGTAGATTGAAAGACAGACGGACTATAATATAATCAAGAGTAGAAGACACGACAGGCCCTAGAGAAAGCCCACAGCCTAAAGAGGCTGAAAACAACCGGCTTTAATCAGGATTCTTTGAGGGAAAACATTTATAACTGTAAAATTCTCACTATATTTCCCTAATTGTTTAACCCATGAGTCAGATCCAGACTTTGAACAGGGAGCTGAGGGATCGACACTGAGATCCTGAGGCAGGAACAAAGCAGTTTGTACAGACACTGCTCACGGAGGCCGTAATGGTGAGATAGATCACTGGTAAGGAGCTTACTGCCGAGCTGAGGTATTGCACTCCTGACACCCACCAGAGGGGAGGAGAGAAATGACTCTCCCAGGTGGTCCCCTTCACGTGTGTGAATATACATATATACATATACACACATACATATAAATGTCCCAGGTGATACCCTCCCCACACATGCCTACAAATACACACAAATACACACATATACACACATATATAAATGTAAGTAATGACTCTCTCGGGTGGTGCCATCCCCACACATGTATACATATACATACAAATACATACATATATACAAACATATAAATGTCCCAGATGGTCCACTCCACTCACATGCATACACATACATACACATACATGTACACATACATATAAATGTCCTGGGTGGTTCCCTCCACACACATGCTTACATATACATACATACACACACACACACACATATACATACACATATATATATACATACATATAAATGTCCCAGATGGTCCCCTTCACTCACATGCATATACATACACACATACATACACATGTACATGTAAATGTAAGTTTCTAAAAGTTAAAAAATATATAGAACCCACAACCAGGAAGTCTGCATGGGACTGACCAGGCCTGCACATATGTGACAGTTGTATAGCACGGTCCTCTTGTGGGACTCATAACAGTGGGAGCAGGGGCTGTCTCTGACCCTTTTGCCTGCTTTTGACACCCTTTCCCTCCTACTGGGTTGCCTTGTCCTGCATTAATAGAAGAGGAGGTGTCTAATCTAACTGCAACTTGATACACCATGTTTGGTAATGTCTCTGGGAGGCCTGCTCTTTTCTGAGGGAAATGGAGGAGGAGTAGATCTGGTGGAGTGGGGAGGGAGGAACTGAACCATCAACCAAAGAGCATACATGGGCTAGACCTACCCCACCCCTCGCCCTGCACAGACGAGGCAGCTGTGCAGCTTGGTCTTCACGTGGGTCCTGTACAACTGGAGTGGGGGCTATCCCAGAAGCTGTTGACTGTACGTGGGATATGTTCTTCTAGTTGGGTTGCCTTGACTGGCCTCAGTGGGAGAGGATGAGCCTAGCCTCACAGAGATTTGATGTGCCAGGGCTGGAGCATACCCAGGGGGCCTCCACCCTCTCAGAGGACAAGGAGGAGGGGCATTGGATGAGATATAAAGTGAATAAATAAAATGAAAAAATTTTAATTAAACAAAAAATAAATTATGCATAATATATAACTATCTATTCATTAATAAAATATATATCATATACAATTATATACCATATTTATATGTATATAATATGTATAATGTAATAAAATCCTGTATAGTCAGAAACTTATGGCTTTAGTTCAAGAGGATAGTGTCTACCACCACCACTAGTGCTGAAAATGTCGCTTTTCATGGGCTGGTTGAACTAGCCTTGAATTCCTGGTCCTCTAGCCACCTCCAGAGACCAAGACTACAGACACGCATACACACCCGAGACCAGGACTGTGGACATGCGCACACACCCGAGACCAGGACTGTGGACATCCGCACACACCCGAGACCAGGATTGTGAACATGCGCACACACCCGAGACCAGGACTACAGACACCTGTTCAAGTTTTCAGGCCAGAAGTCTCAGATGCCCTGCCACGAGGAAAGCCAACCTAAGTGGCTTTCTAACTGACAATGCAGGGACGGGCAAAGGTCTAATACTCGACTGGTTGCTGAAAATCAAATGCCTGCTGTCATCAGAACTACAGCGTTGGTCATCGGCGATGCCACACATCTACCACACACATCTTTACAACACAGTACATGTTGCAGGAGAGAAACAAAAAAGAACCCTTCCTGTTCTGGATATTAAAAGACAATGGGGTTGGGGAGCTGGAGAGATGTCTCAGGGAGTATTGGTGTTTGCTGTGCAATTTAGTGACATGGGTTCAATCCCTAGCAAGAAGTGACTCCAAGACAACTGTCCCCTGACCCTTCCCCACACTGGGAGGTAGCCCAGAGCTGGTATGGTTTACAGCACCCACAACACCAATGAAGCAAACGAACTTAATCTGGAGTTACAGATGGTTGTAGGCTGCTGTATGGGTGTTGGGAAACTGAGGTCCTGCGGACGATCAGTGTGTACTCTGTGAATAAATAAACACTTTGGAAAACAACAACAACAAAACAGTGGCCAGTCAGAAAACCGCTCAATGTGACAGTCACCTACAAATGTGAATTACGATCGATGATGTGCCGGTGGTGTCCAAACTGCAAACACAGAAGTTGGGGAGCACGGACCCTCATACAGCACTGGAGAAGTTTGGAGCACTCAATAGGGTGGGAAATTAAAGATTTGTTTCTCATTTTAATTTTATGCGTATGAGTGTTTTGTCTCTGTGTATGTGTGCACCTCATAAGTGCAGTGCCTGAGGAGGCCAGAAGATGGCATCAGAGACCCTGAAACTGGAGTTACAGGTGCATGTGGGGTGCCATATGGGTGCTAGGAACCAAACTGGGATCCCGTGAGAGATCAGTAAGTACTCTTAAGATTTTTTTTGGGAGGTTTTTTGTTGTTGTTGTTGTTGTTGTTTTGTTTTGTTTTTTCGAGACAGGGTTTCTCTGTGTAGCCCCGACTGTCCTGGAACTCACTCTGTAGACCAGGCTAGCCTCGAACTCTCGAACTCAGAAATCCGCTTGCCTCTGCCTCCCAAGTGCTGGGATTAAAGGCGTGCTCCACCACCTCCCGGCTCAGTAAGTACTCTTAACTGCTGATCTGTCTCTCCAGCTTCTCAGTAGAACTTTTTTTTATAATTACAGTTAAGACTAAGCTGTGACTTATAACTGTGCATG